ACACATTCATCAACCTGAAACCAATCTGGAAATCTTCTTCACTCAGCCAGTATCAACAACAAAATTCGCTCGGATTTTCAATACAAACGTCAAGTCAGTCAGTTCTTCTATACGGATGAGAAACTTGGCGGGCGGGTTACAAAGAATATTTCAAACAGCCTGTTGCAGACCTTTATCAACAACCAACTGTCTTCGCTGGATCTATACTGAAGATCAGATGGCCGGGCCGGAAAGAATCACCAACAAGAAACTATGGCGGGGAAGAAACAAAACAAGAAGCAATCTCCAACCAACATATATGCAGGAGAATGTGGAGATGGATTGGACACTGGATGAGGAGGCCGCGGGGTGACATCGCGCGCGCGTCAGGCCATTGCTCGAGTGGAACCCGAAAGGGAAGAGGCGAGTGGGACGTCAGTGGAAGGGTGACATGGAGGAGATCGTGTGAAGAGGAGTTGAAAGAGTATGGACTAACATGGATGCAGATGAAAAGTACAGCAGAAGGCAGAAGTGGCATGTGGAGACGTGAAGTTGAAGCCCTATGTTCCACTAGGAACCGAAGGGAACAATAATAATAATAATTCGACTTCCGGACCTATGGGTCCCAGGTTTGAATCTCAATTTACGCACTTCAGCTCAGGCAACAACGAAGTAACATTATCTTCCACAGAATGAGTTAGGTTAATAGCCTGAAAGGGGAAAAGTCAGTTCCGGCCAGATGAGCCGTTCCATTCTTGCTGTATTTGGTTATGTTTTAAATTCTTTTAACATTGTCAACTTGTACTAATTGTCGATAAATATTACCCTCCAATGAAAAAGACTCTGTGTGTTATTGTAAGCCATTTGAAATCGCGTGCTCTATCTATGCACTAATTGCAATTAAGCACATACATAATGGACATTGAGTTACTTATAGCTGTGATTTTATTTCTTTTATACTAAGTCTATTTTAATTCAAATTGACAATTTGCAATTTACTCAGTTTGACGTGGAATTTCTCCATAATTTTCATTGGAAACTAAAGTTATTCAAATCACAAAATATGATCGGTCTGCTTGGTGTACCATAAATATGAAAAAGAGAAGACATTCAGTGAAGAGACTCTTTTCGGCCTTTGAGTTGTTGTAGGTTTTCCTCTGATGTAGGTGTGAGATCGTAAGTTTGGTTTATTAGATTTTCGAACTGAACCTGGCATTGTGGCTTGTCAATACTTGGTGGTTGTACGCAGAATTTTGGACCTAGGGATAGTACCTCTAGTTGGGTAGTAGACAGTGTAATGTCTGAAAGGTTGAATACGTACTTTTCTGGATTGCTTGGGAACGGAGATTCATTATTAATTTTAGGCTTCAGGCTTTTGAGCAGGTCTGCTTTAGTCTTGATGCATTCTTTCTGAGTGACTTGTTGTACATATTCTTCGAAGGAATGGCGTAGTTCTTGATCTAAGTCTTCGACTGCATGAGCTTTTGAGGAGACATTTCGCTCTAGACGAAAAGAGTCTTTTCGCTGAACATCTTCCCTTTACCATAAATATAGCAATCAAAAAAGCAAGCATAGATGCCTAATACTGTATTACTACTGATTGGGTCACATGAGTAATCAGGCACCAGCACCCACACCAACCGGCAGTACTTATTAGTGAGATCGAAGCGATTGAAACATCATACAGTCGTTTCGTTGGTTTCAGACTGGGCCCTATCATCGGTGTGTTTCCGCTTCGATTTAGCTCAGAAAACCGAGTCATTTCAAACCACCTGAATTCTAATTTAACTACTCTGGTGAACTGGTAATACATTGAATGAAATTCGCCATTTGCAATTTACACTCTTCGATTTGGCTGACTGGTAATCACTACTGTTTTGATACAAGTAGTGTCCAGCTACTCATGTCACTTAATCAGTAGTATATTGGTCTGTTTGAATTAGAAGTGTGTGCAGAAAGGTTGGGGAGGGAGTGTGGGGTTATAGCTGAAGGGTTTGAGATTCATTTTAACAATTATATGCTGCTTTTACAAATACGCGGGTTGGTGTTTTTGGGTGAAATGAAGCACTTCTAAGTTGACAATGGGCTTACGTTGATAAGCTCAGTGTGACGTTATGAATTCGCGCTACTGCAGAATTTTGGATTCTTAGAAACCATAGTCAAAATATTCATTGTCTTTATTCAAGGTATATTCACTACAATAGCCATTAGTTAGTATGAATGGTAAAATTTAAAATAGTCCCAATTCTTCTGCTTTTTAATTCTGAAGTCATTTTTACCACGTTTTTAATCAAATTATGGTGAATTTTCGTTAGACTGTTTTGGGAACTCTGTTCAGTTTGTTGGGGGTTCATGGATTTTAGGTAAAGGGAGTGGAAGAAAGAGAAATGTATGAAAACCAAGAATTATTTGTACATTCCTTTTTTCTAATTCAAAATATTTTGTTAGTATAAATGCTGGTTGTGTTAACAAGTTTTGTGGGGAGTATGTTATCACTAAACTACTAACTGCCAATCAGATTACTTGTCTTCTTCTTCGGATTTGTATTATTTATCCCTACAGAAACCTTTTTTTAATTGGTAGTCATTCCAGGGTAGACTGTTCGCTAACAACTCATGTTGTTGGGGTTCAATTCCCGACCATCGTACTCCTAAATCTCGTCTTAGTGTATTAGCCGAGAGGGGAAGCCTGGAAATGGTGGGAGGTTGAGCGTGAGGCTAGCAATCCCTCGCCCCTTCCGTAAAAACATAACATCATAGCTACTGAGACTTCAAAGCTTGGACCTTGAAGCCCTCTTTCCCACTCAGACTGACTGGAAAGAAATCCTATATTTTTCTGTTTTAAGAAAAATGGAGAATAGGTTTCGTTGAATGCATATTTAATTTCCTTTTAGTGGCAATTGTACACATCTTTACTAAGTAAATCCTAACCAAGTATTTTACTAGTGCGTCGGTTGCACAGCGGTTAGGACTCTCGCCGACCATGCATATGGTCCGAGGTTCGATCCCCGGCCACCGACGCACTCCTTTACCTCGCTAAGCCAGAAATAATGCTGGTGAAGAGGGAAGGTTGGGCATGAGGCTAGCAACCCCATCCTGTAAAACAAACACTTCTTCAGAAACTTCAAGCCACTAGCTTGAAGCCCTATGTTTCACTGGGGAAAGTGAAGGAAAAATTATTAATTACTATTGAGTGTTTTACTGTTGGTTTAAGCTATTTAGGACGATGTAGGCAGACTGGCTTGAATCGTTAAGACACTGTGAAACAATGGCTAGGGATTATTGGTGAAATATTGGGAAATCGTTCTCATTGACACAAATAAATTTATTCTATGTGGCAATTTGAACTGCTGAAGTTTTGTGCAAAGCTCTACATTGAAAGTTGACGAATTCACATAACCTTGTGTTAAAATGTCCGTTTGAAGTTGTCATGGTTATCCGAGTGTAAAGAAACCCTCCCTATTACATAACTTATATCAACATCTTTAAGGTTTGTCTGTACATTTTTGGAGAAAAAAGTTTGTGGCGTTACTCATTTTTTTAGTTAATGCAAATACACTGTGTAATGTAACATCAGCTTTTTACCATAGGAGAGATTAAAAGCTTTGTTCTATCCCAATGGATTACGTAATTGACGTGAAAAACACCTAACGTTTTTGTATGGATTATTGGCAGTTGCCATAGGATATCACAGCGTATTGTACGATGACAATCATAAGCGGTAATATGTACCAATCAGAATTTGAATAATGCTTAGCTTTTGTTGTTCTATGCGTAGTAGACATGTTGTGGTTCATTGAATTAAGCACTATGCTTTCAGCCTATGGATCGCAGTGTTGAATCTTCCCCCACTTACTTCAGTCTGCTTGGTATTATAAGCCTTTAAATAATTAGTGTGACTAATAGGTTGGCGCGGGGTATTATTATCGTTCCCTTAGACTACTAGTGGAACACAGGGCTTCATTAGCACATTTCCATTAAATCTTTTCCTCAGTGGGCGGCGTCCTTAGCTGACTTCGTGATTTCTCATCTGCTCACATCTTCCCTTCACGCCACCTCCCTGGTATCACCCTCTTTCTCTCAAATCACTGTTCCCCATTCGGCTTTCATTTGAAGGCCTGGCACGCTACGTCAGCCAACGATCTCCTCAGTGTGTGTCCGGACCATTTGCATTTACTTTGGGTTGTTTGTTGGGCATTAGATGCTTGGTTGGTACGTTGCAAGAGTCCCTTATTGCCAATCCTTTCTGGTCAACCAACTTATCTTCGGTAGGGATCCAGTGAAATCATCTGTTAATGAAAGTCTGAAGCATGTTTGAAATGCCATTCGTGATGTGCCAAGTCTCTGAACCATATAGAAGTACTGAATTCACACTGGTGTAGAAATTTCGGGCCATCATTGTTATGCTGATTGCAGTAGATTTCCCGCGCTGATTTAAGATTAGTGAAGGTCTCTCTTGCCTTTATGATGCTGGCTGGCTTTTACAGCTTCATCAGTGGAACTTGTAGTTGATAGTCGTTGATTTGATATCTTCATCACCTTTGGCTTCTTGATGTTCACCTGAAGTCGTCTCTTTACTGTCAGCCTTTTCTGTCGCCTTGTTTGTCTCCTCGTGTTGTTCTTCGAATTTATGTGACATTCAGCATAAGTCATCCGGGAAGTCCGGGTGTTCTAGAGTCTTCTTGTTAACCCCAACATATTTGTGTTTGCTCACTACTCACGGTCTGACACACCATCCAATCCATCACAATCAGCAATCTCATCAGCGATAGTAAGTATTCTATCTTCATTCCAATGGTTTCGCTGAGTTTTCCACCCCCTTACAGGGTAACTGGGTTCTAACTACTGAACTGGGATTTTCATTTAATAGGTGGTAGGTGTTTGAATATATTACACGAAACTAATACATCATCAGTGATCTTAGCTGTGAGTGTATTAAAGTCTCTTGTTCATTGTTATTAATTCATTGGTGTTTAATAATTCTCTCTGGTTGTTCTTTTTGTTTTTTGCTAATCATTTTAGGCAATTGATACTTATGAGAATTCAGAACGAAACATCGCCACACTTGACTGTCAAATTAAAGCGCGTAAAGGTAATTTCAATTCACTTTTATTTTGTTTAATATTAGCAAGTTAAGTGTTAAAGTAAAATTTAACTGTTGATATTTTCACTGAACTCATTCAAACATAGAAACGCTTCAAGTTTGACTACAGATTGATATCAGTTACAGAACCATTGAAAACTAGGGAGTTCTAGAGAGCTATGTTTCGTCCTGGTTTGGGACTCTTCATCAATACGCACCCATCGGGGTTTCAACCCAGGACTCCCTCCGGTTACAGGGTACATTATTATATCATTCACCCACTTGGAACTGATCCGATGGTACAAAAGTTTCAACTTCTACCAGTTTATGATTTTAGCGTGACAACTAGCCTTGCAACTGGGGGGTCCTGAATTCGAAACCTGGCGAGTGCTTACCACTGCTGTTAACTCATTTTGTTTTGTTTCACAGCTGTTACATTCAAATATTGTAATATGAATATTTTTGAGTCTTCATATTGAGTTGTGCAGATTGCAAATGATAGACTTGATGCTCGACAACACAGTAAGGAGACCTGGTTTATCTGAAACCTGTCATGTGCGTATTTGCGCGCAACACACTTCGGACATTCTGATCACACATACACACACACACACACACGTACTTATGATACACATTTAAATGGAAGGCAATATAGGCATGAATTATTACAATACAGATCAGATTGTGTACAGGTCAAGGTCACAAATAATGGGTAGAGAGGTAACTCAAAGTTGTGGGTAAGAAAGAAAAAAAAAGCAAAGAAGGGGCTGGAAAAATATTATGCACTAAACTGAACCAAGTTTCTAAATTGGATTAACAAGGCAGGTTTGAAGTAATAATAAATAACTTTTGGACACATAAGACTAGTTTGAACCTTTTGTGTACTTCACTATAGTTGATGTCGGACATCTGCTTCCAGGATTCGGTGTATAGTCAGTTCTCCTAAGTTTTTTTATTCCTCTATGTTCACTTACTTAACAAATATAGATGGAATAGATCGATATATCCGATATATTCTTGGTAATTATAATGTATAGATTTCGTTATAGATCGACTTAATTTAGAGAATCACTGGACAGTTCTAAAGAGGATTCGTAACCGGTGGAGTCCAGCATATCTGTTGTGGAATGGATGCTCGTCGATAACGTTAGCTAACAAAGTACCGTTGTATCGTGGTCAGACATAAGTTAGAATTGACTGGTCATTTCATATTCTAACTGACTAGCCTAGTCACCAGAAGGTCCTGGATTCGTCTACTGGTGGAGTCACTGCTGAGAAGTTCCAAACAAGAATGAAACAGTTGTTTAGCGCTGTTTGATTTTGAATAATTCTGTAATTGATGTCGATTGGTGACAAAATCATAATTCCTAAAGTACTAACCATGTAAAGAGGTCATTATAATCTGCTAGATTATTGTTATATTTGTGTGTGTCAGTTTAGTCAGTTTTGCGACTTATATTTCTTCGCGTTTTGAAATGGGACATACGGCTTCAAGCTTGAACTTTAAAATTTCAGTAGCGGTTCGATTTAGTTTTCCGTGGATGGGACTGCTAACCTTGCTTCCAACCTTTTGGAATTAGTTCACCCTAATAAAATAAGAAATCTGGAGAACAGTTCAGCTATAGCAGCACTTCATGCAATTAAACACAACCATAGATCTGAATGGTGAGATAAGATTGACAGTCTTAAAATCTAACTGATATAACAGCGGGGTGGAGGGAGAGATTGATAACAGAAGCTTTATTTTGAAATAATGGAGAAGATTTATAACTCAGGTGAATGATGTTCGATTAGTTGTGTTCTCTGAAGAGCTGGTTGATTTAATACTGAAGCTTTTGTCGTCCTTCAAGACAACATCTTCAGCGAAGGTTGTTATTTTTTTTAGAAGGATGAAGAAAGCTTCACAATCAAGTCAAACCTCTCAGGAAGCTTTATTTATCGAATCAACTGAAAATATGTTCAACATGAGTAATTCAAAACTTGTCCAGTTGGACATCTGGAAAATTCTATTACCCCTAAGACAAATAAGAAAGAATAAAGAAAATTATAAGACGAAATTTTCGAATTTGTATAGTTATAATTGGTGACGTGATTATGAACAATGATAAATTGTGTTTGAACCTTCGTCATCCAGTAAATAATGCTGTTTCACTGTGTGTCGTATGTTTAATAAACAAATTCATTTGCAGTTACCTATTAACACAGTGTCCAAACTTTGGACATGTACAATAATTCGGGACTTACCGGTTAAACGAGGTTTAGAAGTGTATGTGTGTGTGTGTGTGACCAGGAATCGAACCTTAGACCACTTGAAGCGTGGTCCATTCAACCATCAACGCAGAAAGCACTATCCACTGGTACACTTGAACACGAGAGAGCCAGACAGGCTTTAGACCAGGAAGAGGGTGTATTGATCATATCTTCACCCTGCGACAGATTCTAGAACATAGGCATTCCTACCGGCGTCCAACAATCATTATATTTCTTGACGTAAAGTCGGAATTCGATTCTGTCGACCGAGAGGTACTCTGGCGATGCTTGGATATAAAGGGAATGCCGAGAAAATACATTGTACTGATTAAGGCCATCACTCTACTCGTAATCATACAGCCAGGGGAGGGCTTACGGCGAGTTGTCATCTGAACTGGTGATGACTAGTGGTGTCCATCAAGGATGCCCATTATCCCTATTTCTAGTCAATTTCATCATAGATGTAGTAATGGACTTAACCCTAACTCACTTCAGAGAGTCAGGGATTGACTTGTTACCAGGGAATAATCTCGTTGACTAAGAATATGCAGACGATATAGTCCTTCTAGGCGAGGACGCTGACAAAATACAGCAGAGTCTTCTCAACACCTTGAGCTGCAATCTACGAATGTTTGGCATGCGATTCGCGCTCTCCTGTCAAATGCAAGATGATGTTACAGGACTGGACTACACTGACTCCTAGTTTAGAAATAGGAAGTGAAGTGGTAGAGCACGTTGACTGCTTCGCTTATTTGGGAAGTACCATCAGTCCCAACGGATACAGAGGGCTAGTTTCGCATATGTCAGTTTACGCCATCTCTGGCATAGATGTGATATCCGGCTATCGACCAAAGGGCGTGTGTACTGCTCAGCAGTCCGCTCTGTCCTCCTTTATGGCTGTGAAATCTGGCCATTGAGAGTGGAAGACATGAAAAGCCTGGCTAGCTGTCTTTGATCATAGGTGTCTGCATTCTATCTCCCGAGTGAAGTGGTATAATAGGGTGAGCAATATTGAGGTGAGGTATCGGTTGAGTGCTAGGTAGGTAGGTGGGAGGGGAAATCACTGGACGAGGCTGTGAAATTACATCGACTGAGATGGTTAGGACATGTGTTACGCATGCCTAGTCCAGGCATTGCCTTCCTCGACGGGCAATGTTAGCTGACTGACATAGGGTTAGGCTGGATAAGAACTGGCGGCGGTCAAACCAAAACATGGCCTCATCAGTCAATGAAATCTACAACAGTTAGTCAAAGCCAGCCAAGTAGGAAGGTGTAGATTGGCCTCCTAGTTGGGGTCGTCGGGACGGTAAAAAATCAATGGTTGGAAACAATTGGTGACATGGCTCAAAATCGTTCTCAATGGTTGGTGAAGATGCATTCACTCCTTGTAACCTATAATTTCTAATGAAGCTACATAGTTCTTCGTTATTACTATTCCTTTGTCTCACACCTCTGTTTACCGTCTCTCTCTACTATGCATTTCTTCTTCTTTCTTCTTTTGCTTTGTGTGTTACATGGAGTGGAGTGTGGCGACTTGAACTGCCGCATATATGTGCAAAGTTCTATGTCGAAAACAGACAGACAAACAGACTTGAACCCATCTACCTACCTTGATATATTAACTGAGTTGATTAGTTTTATAAATTATATAATTTTGTAATGTGTTAATAATGATTATTATTACTACAACTCAGAAATGACTTACTAATTTTTCTCTTTCTTCTTTTTGTCCCTTCAATGCAAACAGCGGAATTATTAAAACAACAAAATGAAAATGAATCATTGAAAAAAGAAATTGATTGTTTCTTAAAAGAGATGGTTGATATGTGATCATCTCTGTGACCCCCATGTCTGTCTGCCTCTCTCTGTGTGTCTCTATGTGTCACATTCCCTACATATCGTACTGATGATGATCATCATCCCCACTTACAAATAGAAAGTGAAGATTTGCTATTACCAATATCATTATTATTATTACTTTTCTTATTATAACTCGTATATATTTATACATAGACACATTCATTTGTTGATACAAAATGCGCGCCTACCATACGAGATTTGACTCCACTTTCCAAACATTTGTCTACTTTGTTCGACTCCCTCCCTCTCCCTGACTTAACTTTAAAATTCTTTATTTTGTAATGAAAGGTATTATTTATTTTCAATTGAAAAAAGAAGGGGGGCATGCATCTAATTCTCTTTACTTTAGGAAAGTATATTTTAGTTTCCCTGGCCGGGGGGGGGGTGGTTGCTGGGGGGAGAGAGAGAGAGGTTGGATTATTTTTCAATATTTTTTTTGTGTGTAAAATTATGAGAAAATTTCTGTTTTTTATCCACATGCGCATGCATAACTTTTATTTTCATAGGAACATTTTCTTCTTTCTCTTTTCTCTTATTTTGTATATCCTGTGTGAAAATTACTCACTCACTTACTGATTCAATCCCCCGTCGTCCTCCTCGTCGTCCCGTTTTCTTTTTATTTTGATCGCTTATTATTTTATTCTTTGTCACATGCTTAATTTGTTTTCCTTCTTCTTCCCCCTTTTGGTCTTCAGTTTTTAAGTTTTAAATAAAAAATGCTTGTTTCTTTTTGGTTATTGAAATATCATTGTTTTGCTGCAGTGTGTTGAGTTCTTCTATTCTCTAAGAACATAGGTATACTAACCGGCGTCCGACAATTGTCACTTTTCGTGACCTGAAAGCGGTATTTGATCCTATCGACTGAGAGATATCTTGGCAGTGTTTGGCTGTGAAGGGAATGCCGAGGAAAGCGAGTCACACTGTTCAAGGCTCTTTACTCGAACTCATACAGTCAGCCAGGTAAGAGCCTATGGAGAGCGGTCATCTGACAACTGTCAGGGATGCCTACTGTCCCCATTTCTGTTTAATTTCATCATAGATGTGCTCATGGAATTAACCCTAAGTGATTTCAGCAACTCAGGAATTGACTTGTTACCACCAGGGAATAATCTCGTTGACTTAGAGTATGCAGATGATATAGTCCTCCCATCTAGGTGAAGAGCGGAGTCTTTTGAACACCTTGAGGAGCATCAATCTTTGAATGTGTGACTTGCAATTTGCGCGCTCCTGTCAAATGTAAGATGATGCTACAGGATAGGACTGAACTACATTGACTCCTAGCTTAAAGATAGGCAGGAATGATGAAGTGGTTGGTGGAGCGTGTTGAACACTTCACTTATTTGAGAAGTTGCACCAACCAGCACGGTGGGTTGATTGCTCATTACAATCTCAACACGGATATATAGGGCTCGTTTGGCATTTGCTGGTCAACTTATGCTATCTCTAGAGAAGATGTGATCTCCGACTGGCTGTCGACCAAAGGACGTGTGTATTGCGTATCAGTTCGCTCCGTCCTCCTTTATGTATGTGAATGGAACATGGCCATTGAGAGTGGAAGACACAAAAAGCCCGACCAGCTGTCTTTGATCACTGGTGTCTGCGTTCCATCTCCCGTGTTAGGTGGTGTAATAGAGTGAAAAATATTTAGGTTAAGCGTTGGTTGAGTGTTAAGTAAGTGGGAGGGAAAATCAATCCATGAGGTCGTGAAGACAAACCGATTGAGGTGGTTAGGACATGTTTTATGTATGCCTAGCCATCACCTTCTCCGACGGACAATATTAGCTGACATAGGATTGATCAGGCGGGAGAAGAGGTAGTAGTGATCTAACGGAAACATGGTTTCATCAGTCAGTGAAATCCACAACAGTTAGTTATATCCACCTACCACGTAGGGATGTGCAGACTTCCTGACTGGTTGAGGTCCCATGTATGATAAGAACCAATAAAGGCTGGAAACAATTGCTGATATGACTGAAATCGTTGTCAATGGCGCAGATGCATTCACTCTTTATGATTTGTGAGTCATATCCAATATAACGCTACTGTTATTCCCTCATACTTCTGTTTATTGTCTGTCTTGTGAATCTCTCTTCACTCTTTCCTCTTGTTTTGTGTGTTACATGAAGGGAGAGTGTAACTGGAACTGCTGCACGCGCGTGCTGAGTTCTGTGTTGAAACAAGTCAGGCAGTCAACCGCGAGTGCTACTTTGTTGAGTAGATTGATAATGTAGGAGCGTTAGCTGATTCCGTTTTGGTTCCTTAATTTTGTTTGAATGGGTTATGATGTTTAAGTACCTTTCAAATGTGGATGAGTCGCAGTATGACTTTTAATAATAATAATAATAACAGCTTTATTCCAAACAGTATTTGTGATACAGTTATGGAATTTTTAGCGTGCATTACAATATATTCCATCTAATTACCTCATAAATTTTATAAGATTTTAAAATTAAAAGGCAACACCCAAAAAGATAAATAATAAGAAAAAGAAAACAGCGTTGCGTTTCCATTTTCAACAATGCACCACAGGATATGAAGTATAAAATTGGTGTATAATAGAAGATAAGAACAACAGTGTAATAGTAACGAGGAAAGGAAAACAAAAACTAATGGGACTATTTGTTAGAGTGCTGCAGTAAGTTGATCGTGTCATACCTAACGGATTTCTCATCACATAACAGCTGTGCCAGATATGGTATTGTGGACATTTGTATTTGGTAGTCCTAGCATATAGCCGCCTATAGCTGCTTCTAGTTCTACCAGATGAAATGCAAGGAGACAGCTGCGTATAGAGAGGATGCTCGGGGTGTGACAATATTGTATTCGCTAGTTTCTTACATGACGTAATATGTCTATCCACAATAGTGTTAACCAGTTGGTTTAACGATATCCCACTTGCCCTACTAACGGCTTTTAGTGCCCTTCTCAGCGAAGCAAAGTCTTTCTTAAGTAGTCCAGGAAAGATTAATGGGGAGCAGTAAAGGGGATGGGTAGAATACAAGAATTTACAAACTGAGAAAGCAAAGACTGCTTTATGCCAGACTGCCTAAATTTCCTAATGTAGAACGTTAAGCGAAACATCTTTCTAGTAACTAGCAAGATGTGGGAAGACCAGGAAAGATCGAAGGAAAAACTCAGCCCAAGGTACTTGACATTAGATGTATTTTCAACCTCTGTGCCGTCAATGATAGTGGGGCCATGTGAGCTAACTAGTTGCTGTAGGTCACATTTACGTCTGAAAGTGAAATTGACTACCTGACATTTAGACGGATTAAGCTTAAGTCCGTTTGAAGAGGACCACTGACTAATTTCCGACAGAAAGTTATTTAATTTGGAACAATCTGACTGAGAGTTGACAGGCATAGAAACAGAGAGGTCATCGGCATACTTAACAAAAGTGGCTACATCAGAATGAGGCAAGTCATGTAAGAAAAAAGAAAACAGAAAGGGAGAAAGAACAGCACCTTGAGGAACACCAGCTAAAGTAAGTGAGGTAGTGGAGGACTTTCCATTGTAGACGGTGTACTGCTTCCTATCAGAAAAATAGGAATGCAACCACTTATTTGTCCAGCTCTCAGCCTGTGTTGCAGCAAGCTTACTTAGCAAGAGAGACCTGGGAACAGAGTCAAATGCAGATGTGTAATCAAGGAAGGCACAGCGAACGTATTTAGCTCCTTTATCTAAACTAGAGACTATGCTATGGTGTAGGACAACAGCGGCATCTAACGTACACCTACTATGTTTATAAGCAAACTGGTTGGGGTCGTTGAAAGGCTTTAAAGAGGGTTCAAGATTAAGTAAAATAAGTCTTTCCATAACTTTCAAAAAGGTGAGGTAATAGCAATGGGTCTAAACTTAACATTAGGTCCACTTGTTGATTTAGGCACTGGAACGATCTTGATATTTTTCCATGATTCAGGTATAATACTTTTGGAAAACGATTCGTTGAAAATGTCAGTTAATGGGGAACACAAGATGTCGGCACACTTCTTAAGGATAACAGCAGGAACACCATCAGGACCAAGGGACTGAGTAGGTTTGAGAGATTGAAGACACTTGAGGACATCATTCGTGTTAAAGCATGAGAAGCAGTCATTATTTACACTATTTGAGTTAGGAATCATAACATTTGCTGGGATACATATGAAGGATTCATTAAGCATGTTAACATCTACAGAAATATCATTCATTATTTGCTTACCACCTGTGATTTCCTTTAATAACTTCCACATATTTGATGGGGATTTACATGAAAGAAACTTCTGGTTATAGAGAGCATTCAATCTTTGTAATTCAAGCTTAATCAAAGTGTTCATTCTCTTAACACCAGATTTTTTTTTCATTTTGAACAACCTTTCTTTTTCACGGCGGAGCTTTTTGAGTTGAGAAGAGGAGAAGCGATCGAATTTTAAGAAGATTGTCTCTTTTGGACAACAAACATCAAGACAGAAATTAAGATAATGTGTTATGTTGGTAATTGTGTTATCAAGAGCTTGTTCAGTAAATAAATCCCAGTTTGTGTCTTTTAACATGGACCTTAGATTCAGTATGTTGTCATGGGAATAACATCTGTTGTGTTTTCTTTCCAAGGTAGAAGACTTTTGTGCTGCTTTCAATACTTTGGGCAATATTCTTATGATACAGTGATCTGAATTTAGTAGTGGGGCTCTTTTTCGAGCTTCAAATATTCCTGTGTCATTTATAAACACAAGATCAAGAGTGTTATCCATTCTAGTCGGGAAGTTGACAATGTTATCGTGTCCAAGTGAAATTAGGAAGCTGTGATCACTAGAATTGAAATCTCCAGTAACTATAGACAAGGAATTTCCGAAGGAGGTGGCAGCAAGGGAGGTAAATTCATCCGCAAATAAAGATAATTCTGTGGAGTTGCATCCAGGAGCAATATAAATGTTCGAGATGTAAATGTAGTTGTATTTTGACAAATGTTTAGGTCGACACTTAACGGTGAG